TTTTTTTTACAATTGCTCGAATACTTAGTAGAAGTTCTTCGTGTTATGCCTCGGTCAGCCTTGGTCTCCGTAACCTGTGTATGCGCAGGTTACGGTGTTGGCTTTACAACCACTGACATCTCAGGCAGTGGCGTCACGAGGGTCAGCGGCACCCGGAGCGATAGCCCGCCGCAAGCTCCCCCTCCCCCCCCCCCCCCCCCCCCGCTCTCTCGTGGCCCGCCGCGATCACACCCTGAGCGCTGCACCCGGGGCGGTCCACCTCCCCCCCCCCCCCCCCCCCCCTTGTGACGCCACTGATCTCAGGGAAATCCGTGGAACGTAGCTGCTCTATATTCGCCACACGCCGGAAGTTAAAGGAATTTGAAAGGTTAAAACAATAAAGCAACAAAGATACTACCTTGGCAGGACGAAACAAGGCACCGGTTCGATTTCCACTTCTGAGCAACGTAAGCGGTCCATGAGCTCAGCATTGAGGGACTGAATCTCCCAGATGTCCGACAACTGTGAAAAGTTATTTTCAAGTCGAATAGAAACGTTATACGGAGAGAAACTGCAGGAGAGGAAGAGAGGAGAAAGTGCGGGCACGTAAGAGCACCAGCCCGGATTGGAAGGACGCATCTCCTCCTCTCCCGTAGTTCGAAAAACCTTCTACTTTCAATTACGCTAAAACAAAAAAAGTAGGAAAACCTACGTACTGTCATCAGTTGCAGTTTGACTCCACAAGCCGCCAAGGTTACTTCGGTTTCGGTTTCAGTCACGAGGATGTTCCATTCTTTTGAGGGAAGAAGACGCTCGTAATATATTCTACTACTATTAAACGCGCTCGTCACGCTCGTAATATAGTGTACTACTATTAAACGGTAATATTGATAGACATAACTGCAAATGATATAGTGTAGTTTTCAATTCTTTACCGATGGCAGGCAGAATTCCAGTTGACAGCAAAAAATCCCTTCCTGTAAACAAAGGAGCACATTGTGAGGGATAAGCAATCGAGGTCTTCTTCCAATGTCCGCGCCAACACCAGTCCGCCACTTCGTGCTCACATGCTCTGAGCATGGATTGGACACGTGACCTGTGTCTGCGTTCGGCGTCAACACGGCTCAGCACGTATCGATCACTGTGTCAGAGTTCGGAGATGACTCGGGTCCAAACACGCGCTTCGTGTCCAAGCAATGGCGATTGCTACTGTTGCTCGATGAACTTTTGGAAAGAGTCTAATTGTGGTTTTATGAAGGTTTTAGCGAGTGAGTAATTTCCTTTACCCGCAGTCTCTTTCACGTATTAAGCTCTCATTGAAGATGACCTGGACACCTCAATGACGCTACCACGGCTGTTGAACTGTACATTCCAGTTTACAGTCAGCGGATACCTTTTTCGATTCTCTGCTAGATCGATGGTTAAATGGATACGGCAGAACCAGACTTGTACCCGTTACTTGAAAAATGTAACGGATTACAATTACAAATTACCGAGCCTCAAATGTAATGGATTACCGTTTTAAATTACTTTCGCTGATAAGTAATGGATTACTTCACTCGTTACGTTCCAAATTACTTTCACGTTTATTCTTCCCGTGCACTATCAAGAAAGCAATAGAAGAACTTTTGTTGTTTAAAAATGCTCTGCAACATTATTTTCCATTCCGCGTACGCAGGACAATGAACGAATGAATAAATGTTAGAAAGTTACCCCGAACCCGTCCGGGTCGTACGAAGAAAAACACGACGGAAGGCGTTGGAAAGAGGCAGAGCCGAGTCGGTGTTGCCGTCTTGATCTTTGTGTTTCGTATGGTTGTATATGCTTTGCACGTTTTTCTAGTGGTTCTAGTGACCGGTCATAGAAAAAATCCTGTTTTATTTCCTAAAATTCTCCTCTTCACAATGTTTTCTTTTTACTTGCTACGTTTATGCTGCTGAATTGCCCACTCGAATTGCTCCGGTGTTGTGTATTATATTCATATATAAAAAAGGGTAACCAGTATTAAAGCAATTCGTTACTAATATTTAGTAACGAAATTACATTACAAATTACTGCCGCCAAAAGTAACGTGGCAATTACAAAATTATTTTAAAAAGTAACGGATTACTTCCGAAGTCTGATGCAGAACCCTTTATATCGGGCAGCGCCTATCGTCGCACAGCCAAAGTTTTACAGCGTCAGCTGTGAGTGGCCCGTTCCCCGGTTTTTCTACTTCGTGAGCGTAAACTAAGTTTCCCCAAAAAATTTTGCGGAAAAATTCACACCACGTGACCTATGCACCAATTCAGTTTCACCGCCAAATTCAGCGGAAAAATCGACGTCACGTGACCTATGTGCTAATTTTGTTTCCCCGCCAAATTTGGTGGAGAAATTGATGTCACTTGACCTACGGATCAATTCAGTTTCCCCGCTAAATTTGGCAGGAAACTTGATGCCACGGGACCTGACGTCAAGGGACCTACAGGCAAATTCAGGTTCCCCTCTAAATTTAGCGGAAAAGTGACGTCACGTGACCGATACACCGATTCAGTTTCCCCAACCTCAAAATTCATCAACAACGTATCGAGACTAAATCAACGCAACGTCATTTCAATATCAGATCACCGCATGACGCACGATCGGCGTAATGCCAATGCCATCGTCAAATTGCGGCACAGCTGACGTTGTCTAAACGCATGACGTCGTGTGATCGTCACTTAATTTTGAATCCCAACAATTAACTAATTAAAGAAAAACACGTAATGGTAAGCTTTATAAGTTATTGCTTAACCTGGACGGGGTTGTTTCCTTGCCACACGAACGGATTCGAATGACATCAATACGACGAGAAATTGAAGGAGAGGAGGAAACGAGAGTGCAGGGGATGTCAGAAGGTCGAGCTTTGGTCGGAATGGTTAGTGCTTGGGCGGACATACTGCACTGCACTCGTCGAACGCCTTCGAATGCGAAAGTCAAACGACGGACGCCGGCGTATGTCGAATTCAGTGACATGCAGTGACGACAGGCAGCTAGTTTGAGAGTCTACCTTTTAATCATTCCAAACCAGAACTCGGCGTTCTGACGTAAACCACCGGGCAATGAAGTTTGGTTTGGCAGGTGGCGCCACCTTATGCATGATTTTTGCAAAGATGAGACGGCCCGCGGCCGCAATCATTGGCCCCGATCTCGAGTTCGAATCTCAGAGTGCTTGCGGAACTTTGACGTAGGCCGTCCGAAAGTTGCTCATTTTGGCCATCAGTGGAGCTGACTAGCAGTCGACCGAGGCACCGCCTGTTCGCTGCCCTGGGGCGCTAAATAGACCTTTCCGGAAATATGTGGTGCCTCCAGCGTCTGCTTCACGCACTGGACCGTGCCGATGTACGGCTCATGAAATTATACAAGAAGCGAAGCCGAAGTTGACGTTGGTTTAACAGTTCGTGATTTCGGAACGCAGAGAAGGCGGAAGGAAAGCAAAACATAGTATGTGATAACCTCCTCTTCCGTTTTTTTTTTTTATTATTTTTTTATGTGTGTGTGTGTTTTAAGTTTCTAACGATAAGAAATAATTAATTGTGCCGCTACCAGGATACGCGGAGCGCAAGTTCGCCTCTTCTTGCACAGGGGTTCCAATAATGTTAGAACGCCCAGCTCTTATTGGCTGGTTGAAGAGAATAGTGGGTAGACCTCAGGTCATCTAGCATTGGGACCTACCCACTCTCCGTCCAGTCAAAGCCAATCAGAACTTGGCGTCGTTCTGACGTAACCGGAATCCCTGCGCAAAAAGCAGACTACTTGCTCTCTTTTTACGAAGCGTTCGAGCCGGCTCGAGCGTACATACGAACAGCCCCACAATTCCCCTCGTTGCAATCTCTCCTGGGATTTTTCGGAAAGGTCTAACGTTCAAGCTATCCAATTGCATCAAGGAGCGTGCCGGAGTGCGGTCACACGCGCTGCACGTGCTGGCATCTGCAGCAGTAACTGTTCTAAAGTACACGTAAAAGCTTAAAACATGCGGCATCTTGCGCGCGCGCTCGTAAACGCCTTAATTATTTTTTTTTTTTTTTACTTCGATTCTTTCGCACGGGGAAGCCGAGCGCGTGCGGCACGTAGATTTACATTGCCAGCATTCTCCTTCGAAGTTGTGTCTGGTCCACGTGTCTGGTGTGTAAAAAATGATTGGCGAGTAAAACAAATTATTACCTTGGCACAGATATTGGCCTACTTTGTTCCAAAGTGGAGCCATTTTGGCAAGCGTGGTGTAACGAAGACAAGCCTGGAAGTCGCTCGGAACCACCGGGTATGTCGAAACGACGGTAAGGTTCATCCTCCTCAGCTGGTCTTGGAAGAGCTTGCTCTCAAAATACGATATCTAGGAATAAGTTTTCGATAGTACAAAACCCAAGGAAAGATGGAATACTGCCCTGTCGGCGCTACATACCTTTAAAATTGCTGTAACGGAGTACGGCAAGTAGAGCGTTGGCGTTGCAATCAGTTGGTTATCCGTAAAAAGGAGCTCCCTGTGGGAAAATTTGTAGAAATAAGAGCATTTTACTTTCTCCTCTTGGGTGCCGCACATTGACGCGTGTTTGAAGGGGGCGACCACCTTGCTTTGTAAATATGTTTTTGCCTTGTCATATCTTCGGGCGTGTTGCCTTCGTCATACACCAGTTTCACGGTCAAAAGTGACTCGAATTTGGGATTTTTAAAGAAAAATACGACCACATCTGTCATACTGGAACCAGAGACAGAGTCCTCGTTTCAACCTGTTTTCAACGCCCGTGTCAATACTTTGTCGTCTGCTAACTGCGCAAAGCACGTCAGTTTCGTTTTGCGTGAATGATTAAAATAAGCCGCCAAACGACGTCGCCACGTGAGAGGCACGGACTCAGTTATGCACTGAACTTTTTTTTTTTGTCCGAGATTTCAGTTAATTTTTGATTGCGGCAATATTTAAGCATTCATCAAATTCGGGAGGTTTGAAACGGTTACAGAGTGCTTCAGGTTTTCTGGTTTTCCGCGATTCTTTCTTTCATCCGGCAGGGGGCGCGACAGCTGATTAAAGGGAAAGGAGAAACGGTCGAGATACTTTTCTTCGACTTGCGTTCGCAGGTTACGGCAAGTTTCGTCGGGAGAATTAGAGGGCAAACGCTCCGTGAGAGCATATAATTTCAAGATGAAAAGTTTTTCACTTCAGGGCATGAAGAGGCATCCCTCCGTAAGTAAATGACGCACGCTTTACAGCTTGACTCGGCACCGGTAGATTTAAAACGTGTTAACGTACGGTATCGCTAAGCCTAACCTCCCAACACAACCGCAATGCGCAATCGAATATTCACTAGCTGGAATGATTATATCGCATTCCTCAAACGCATTCGAGCATTGTAGCTGGCATACGACATCATTTGAATGACTTCTACCATTAAAACATTTTTCTGTAAAGCAGGTGTTACCTGCCCCCGTCACACGCCGGCCAAGGTTAATTAATATCCGTCGATGGGTGTCAGTTTCTTGTATAAAGTGATCCCACTTGAGATTATATTGCTTGTTTGTAGAAGTTAACGATATCTTGATTAAGGCTTTGCATAGAGACAATCCAGATGCTATCACTGTTTACTCCTTGCTGTGCATTGCCGCCAACACACGTCCCTCACGAACAAGTGAGCTCATCACTGCACTGTTGGGCGTGGAATATTCCTTAGATGCTCCAGTTCGGAAGGGCTCAAGTTAGGTCAGGTAAATATTTAATCAGCTTTTTACAGTTGTTTATCACCTTGCCAGATTAAGAAAAGGGGGGGGGGGGGGGGGGGCGATTTTACTGTGATCAAGGTCGTGTGTTGACGAGGGGCATCTACTGTGTTCATGCCACGAAACTGGCAGTTCCATGCTCGGAGTAGGCAACAGATACTGTATGTTCGTTTGGCGTTGTTAAACATCTTATCTTTATTCATTCCTGTGTTTGGGCTAAATTGGAGCAAAGGGGGTACCCATCCATAACAATGGGTACCTCCTTGTGTGTTACTTCTCTTAGTCCTGTGTTGTGTGTTCCTTCTCTTAGTCTTCGTTGTTGCGCGCTGTTACACCTATACCCTTCTGCTCACCCCAAGTCTCCTAGCTGATCTCTCTTCCCCACCAAGTCCGACCCAGGTTTTGCAGCTGATCTAGAATATCCTTGCAATTCGACTTGCTTGCTTGTGAATAATATTTCAGTGTCTTTTTATTGAGGGAGTGAAGTCTGTCTTTTGCCACTCTCCATACTGGCACACTTTGTCGTTTGTTGCTTTAGTGCCCTTAAACCTTTAAACATAATACACAAAGCTCCATATTGAATCAGCTGGCCATGACCACTGTGACAGAACCAACTCCATTCTTTGTATCCTGTTGCAGTTGATCCCCCTTGTGGTTATTGTCGGTTTTGGAGGACTTGGAGCGGTCTGGTACACTGCCCGGCTGGCTCTCAGAAATCCCGATGTGAGGTAAAGAAAAAATAAATATTATATTTTTAGTTTTTTCAGCTTTAATTACACTTTGGGGATCTCAAATTTTCATCCCGAGGGTTCTGCACGGTGTTGGGGAAAGCAGGGCCGTGAGTGTGTAGCCTTAAAAACATCTGCTTTGTTTTTGCATGGGTGCTCATAAAAAGAATATTTAGTGCATCTGTAGTGTCGGTAGCACTGCCTGCACACAGCCTGTGAGATGGGGTACTGCTTTGGAGTTCTTGGTTTTCTATGTTTTCTTCTACACTTTTCCCATCTACCCTTTCCAGGATGTGGGTTAGTATGCCTGTGTAAGTGAATTGGCTTTTGACACATGAACCGTTTCGATGAACCTCGGGCAATGTGCAGAAGGCACATAGTGCATCTTTGATACCTGAGATTTGTAATATATGTGCAGCTACCTCCTTACACCTTTGTGTGGAGGTTGCTTCCTCACAAGGACACGTTACTAGCTGTAGTTGGGCATAGTGATTCGCTATGACTCCATACATTTTTGGAAGGCAAAACTATCATTGCTGGATACTATATGCCTCCTTTCAGAGATAATGCACACTGTAATAGAAGGTACTAACCTGAGTAACCAACTTTACCGATAGTGTTTCAACTTTGTTAGCTAGCAGGTGCCTCATGTCGTATTGCGTGTGATCTGCAGAGCAGACTACTTTACACTGCTTCCGAGGGTCTTGTGAAGTTTCCAGAATTCTCCGTTTTTCACAGAAAGGCTTTTTGTTTATATTTAGTGTGTTGCCTCTTCCAGCTGGAACAAGAAGACCAACCCTGAGCCATGGCAGGAATGGAGCAACAAGCAGTACAAGGTGAGCTGTCCTTAGCCCCCTCTACCCTCAAGTTGTGTCCCGGGAGCTTAAAACGTCGGGTTCCTCATTTCCAGCTCTGGTCCACAAAGGACTACAGCGAACTCCCAAAGCCCGAACGGCCCGAGATCTAAGCTGGTTTCTTCGAGATGTATAGTTGCATAGGTGCATGGCTTGAAACAATAAATTTTGGAAGCCAAATAAAGCTGTAAAGATGCCAAACTCCCTGCATCTTTTATTTTCTCTCCCTGCCCTGTTCTGCTTTGTGGCACGATTGGGCAGAGTGTTTGTGGCACATGTGTCGTAAGAAATGTGTACATAATCGGGAGAATCGGCCTCCATTCACATTAGAAGACAAAGCTGATGTGACGGAGGGAGCTTAGAAGGCCCAAGGGGCTTTTGCTTGTCAACGAGAGTGTAAACACAAGTTGCTAAAGGTTTTCAAAGAGTTTACTGTCGATGCGTGTAGGGAGCGTAAGAAATCTGCGGGCCATGGGAAACCCCGCCAGGGGAAAAGGATCACCCGTTTCGTCCTGAAAATGGCTGTCGTGATGTTGAAACGAGGTTTGCAACACTGCATCCTCACAAAAATTTCTGGGGGCATTTCACCCCATAAATGAAGTCTTGCAACCACACAAAACATGCACCCCCCTCAAAAAAAAAATGTGGGCAGTTTTATTTGGATTCAAGCAACGAGGTGCAGTTGTATTTTTTTATTTTGCCTCTAATTTTTATATTTCGTGGCACATGTTCCAAGAAGAAGGATGCTTTTTTTTATTTTAATGTCCTGACATGTTTCAAAGATAAAAGAGGCGGGAAAGAATGACGAGGTTTCGACGATTGTCGTGTGTGGCGTTTTTGAATCGCTCTCAATCTCAAAGTGTTCAAAAGAGAGCGTCTTTACTTTTTTATTGTGATATATATGCAAGTAGGTAAAACAACATTATAACTACTATGTATTATTCGTCGCTCTAATTTTTTGTAAAAATTCTTAAACATGCCTCCTCAAGCAACTGTGACCTAAACTGCAGATTTGTTTTGAGTGGACTATGTTCAGTATTCTAAAATAATACCGCGTGTAGAACCTTTCATTGCCGTCCAAATTAAGCAAAGTTTGTGTCTTTATCGCGTATGAATACCGAGAAATAAATTATGAAACAGAGGAAGTTTTCGCTTTTTGTTCAATTTCAGTATGCTGTATAAAAAAAATTCCTTTTTAATTTTTTTCTCTTGCGTCGCATTCTTTTCACACCTTTTTTTTAGCCAGAATGCATTTCGTTAGAAGTATATGCCCTGGTTTTTAGTTTTAAGCCTCTAAATATGCTAAAAAAGAGCAACTGCTGATGGTGGGTTTATGGGTTAAATTGACGATTGTCGTGTGTGGCGTTTTTGAATCGCTCTCAATCTCAAAATATTCAAAAGAGAGCTTCTATATTTTTTTATAGTGATATATATGCAAGTCTGTAAAACGACATTTCAGCTACTTTTTATTATTTGTCGATTCAATCTTTGCAAAAATCCCCAAACATGCCTCCGCAAAAAACTGTGACCTAAACTGCGGATTTTTTTTTTTTTTAGTCGATTATGTTTAGTATTGCTTTTAAAATAATACCACATGTAGAACCTTTCATTGCCTTCCACACTACGCAAAGTGTGTGTCTTAATCATGTACAAGTACTGATAAATAAATTATGAAATAGAGGTTTTCACTTTTTGTTCAGTTTAAGGAGCTGTATAAAAAAAAAACATTTTTAATTTTTTTTTAAATCTACCAGTTGTTTGCAGAGTAAAATAAAAACGTAAAAAATAAAGAGTGGCAAAAATAAATAAAAGTTATTCTGTTGTGTTTCAACATGAATTTCGCATTAAAAATATAAAATTTTGCATTTAAAAATTTAGGCTTCCATTAGGAAGTGTATTTTACTCTGATGTTTTACAATATTATACTTTGACATTGCTAGCCAAGTATAGATTGTAGCTCATAGGGTGCAATGATTGGAGAGGCTTGAGGCCTCTCCAGTCATGGGACTGGCGGAAATTGTCTGAACCTGCTTTTGGCAGTTGCGATTTTATAGAGTGTTTAGAAGTTTGGAATTGCAAACTTGTTAATGTACACCTAATGACATCGATGTCTTTTATATGATTATTTATTAAATATCCCTTAGATAATAAAGAATAAAATATGCAGCTATGACCTATAAACCCATCATCGGCATTTGCTCTTTTTTAGCATATTTAGAGTCTTAAAACTCAAAGCCAGGGCATATACCTCTAACGGAATGTATTCTGGCTAAAAGATCAGTGTAAGGAAAATGCGACGCAAGAAAAAAAACTAAAAATATTTTTTTTTTATATAGTGCTGATATTGATCAAAAAGTTAAAACCTTTTTCGGTTCATAATTTATTTCTCAGTACTCGTACATGATAGACACAAACTTTGCTTAATTTGGAAGGCAATGAAAGATTCTAGACGTGGCGTTATTTTAAAAACAATACTAAACATAATCGACTCAAAAAAAAAAATCCGCAGTTTAGGTCACAGTTGTTCGCCCTCCGCGAACAACGGTGACCTAAACTGCGGATTTTTTTTTTGGGGGGGGGGGGGGGGGGGGGGGGATTTTTACAAATATTGGATCGACGAATAATAAATAGTAGTTGGAATTTCGTTTTACGGACATGCATATATATCACAATAAAAAATATGGAAGCTCTCTTTTGAATACTTTGGGATTGAGAGTGATTCAAAAACGTGGCGTTTTTGAATCACTCTCAATCCCAAAGTATTCACACAACAATCGTCAAAACCTCGTCATTCTTTCCCGCTTCTGTGAGATTTTTTTTCTCAACAACTAAGCATGTCAGGGCATTAAAATTAAAATGATTGTTCTTCTTGGAACATGTGCCACGAAATATAGAACTTTGAAGCAAAATAAAAAATATGACTGCACCTCGTTGCCTGAATCCAAATGAAACCGGCCATATATTTTTAAAGGGGTCATGAAACAATTTTCCTACTTCCTCCTTAGCTTTAATCCTCAACTCAAATGCGAATTGTGAAATCACGTGGTCGTGAAATTCCTTCGGCACCGGTGCGATGACTCCTAGCTTCCACCGTGCTTTTTATGCACACCATAGTACTTGTCATTCCCCAGTGACAATAAGTCCCATCGGGGCACCCATTGGCCACGAACGCGAATCCAAATGTTCGTCGACTGATTGATTGTTGATGAGCGCATACGTCCGGGTGACACAGTTTTGTGTCCAATGCGTGAGCTGGGCTCTGCTGACGTCAGTTTGGCACCGGTGACGTGCTTTTGGAACCGCGGATGTATCATAGTGAAAAGGCGGAGAGCATTGAAGGCAAGAAGGTACAAAATAGTCCGCTATATTTTCAAATGTTTGTACCGAAAAGCTGGCTTTTGACTTTCTAGCTTCTTTCTTTTGGCCAACTAAACGATATGCAATTAGTAAAGTCCCAATTTAAAATCATTCATCTCAACCCAAAATTCGTTTCATGGCCCCTTTAATTGCAAGTTGCTCTTTGAAAGGCCTATCCTTCTTTGGGAGGCGAGAGTCAATGTGTTGCAGACAAGATGAAAAGACAATTCTTAAGTACTACGGGTCTTCCTTTCCAATTGTGAGGACTGGTAGACTATTGAGGAAAGCAATGTCTAGAGATGGTAAATGCAATGATGTGCCTTTGTACCATTTGCACCAAGGTGCTTGCCATTGTATATTTTGCCAAAAGGTGAGAAATTTGCACCAACATTAATATCTTTGTAAAAATACTGCGATTATAATAGCTCTGCATGGCCTTGCTACCTGGCCAGATCGGTGCGATAGGCTGCTCAGAATTTTCTGAACTTTAAAATTATCACCTCAAATAATATACTACTCGATTTGATCTCTCTATAAAGCTCTGACAGTACTCAAAATTGTTGTTTTATTTCTCACGCTCGTGCTCTGTTCTGGCGGGTTAGTTCGTTGAGTGCGCTTCTTACCGCGCACTGGCGTGCTGCAGTGAAGCAACAACCCCAAAGCAGGCATCCCAATTTTGCGTGTCTTGCTTCGCCGCAGCGCACCTGCATGCTAAGGGGAAAGAACCCTTCCAGAGTGGGACGTTGGCCACAATTCTTAAATAAAACTTTGTCTGTAGATGGTCGAGCGTGTTGGTTTCTAATTTACGATAGCGAAAGAGGGACATGGAAGACAAATAGACAGCACAGGCTTTTGACTTGCAATGGAAGGCTTACTGGTTACACTTTGCCACCCGAAGCTTGTTGGGGGAGCATCTGCGAGGTATAGGGAGAGTGTGGTGGGCGAGAGAAGTGGGAGTCGTGGTGGCCCTGCAGCAGCTAGGTGGGCGTCTGCTGTGTGCCATTCGACACGTCCACGTTACACAAAGCCCCAAGAGTGCTGGCGGCACCTCCTTGGGGAAGGAAAGAAAAAGGTGGATGCAGAAAAGAGAAGCTGAAGATGCGGGAATTTGGTCTGTTTTATGTATTTAAAGGATTCCTCTCGCCCCGCAGGAAGTGAATCTCTCAATCCCAAAGAGAAAGGGAAGGGTTGAACAGGTTTGAGGGAGAAGATTTAATGTGTAGGGACTTGACGATTTCCCTGCCGAATCGAGATTTGTGCCCCCGAGAATTTTGGTTTCTGAGAACTCGGAGTGGGGCCCCCCCCACCCTGAGTTCTCGGGGGAAGGGGGGGGCGGGGGGGGGGGGGGGGGTGCACGAGGGGCAGTGTTTTGCTTGAGCCACGATTGAAGGAAAGAAGTCCAGAGGAGGAGATGAGATCTTCTTAACATGCTCGCGGAGACGGTCATTCATGCAGCGCCCCGTCTAGCCAATGTGCTCGGCTCCGCACGCGAGAGGAACCTTCTCCCTCGTGTAGGGCCGGAAGTACTGTGCATGTTTTTTTGTGCATGTGGGTGGGGCTTCTGGGTTAATGACTCGCTTGCATATGCCTCCCAATTTAAATTTACATGTAAAGAGAACACTGATGCTGAATCGATGTGCAAGTGTGCAAAGTCAGTGTGCCGTGTTGTGGGAGTAAGGGATCCACGCAGGGGCCTCCTTTGAACAACTCCTAGACTGCAGAATGAGTTTCTTGCTGATGTTTTCTCGGAGGTCCACTGGGTAACCCGCCTTTTGGAGCCTGGTTGCCTGCAGCGACAGGCTCACTCTGATCATGGGACAGCCATACTTCTTGAAAGAGGAGGA